TACCTTTTATAAAACTGCATAAAACTTATTATTAAAAAACATTGTTAATAATATAAAAAAAAATATTCAGCAATGACTAAACTAAATAATTTTTATATTGAGAAATTAAAGTGTTAATCGACTATATAAAAATAAAATATATTTGTATCTAGTAGCAGGTGGTTCCAATTAACGCTTATAGATGAGCAATGTATTATATCTAAAAATATTCAAAAATATAATTTTAAATATTATTAAAGTCATGTGTCGTTATATCAGCTAAAATTAGAAATACAAAACTCGTGCCTAAAATAGCAAGCAAAAAAGTTCATAATAGACGTGTCTGAAGCTTAACTTAGAAACACACCTCGTGTTATATATTATATATATTAAAAGAAACTGTGAATAAAAAATTTTTATAATAATCAAAACAATGCATTTCAGTACTTAATAGTTAGAAATGTTAATATTGACTTTATTTTCATTTCATTTAACGAAATATTGTTAGAGAAATATAGGTGAATCATATTAAATCTACTTAGAATTTATTTAAAAAAGAAAATATTATATTCCACAGTACAAACAAACGAGGGGTGATAGTGGATTGTGATCAACACAGAAAGAAACATTTCATACTTTCATATAATTAATATATTTTTTTCTACCGATCAATACTATATATTTAGCATATTCCGATTATTGTGTAAAACTATTAAAAGTAGTCTAATAAAAATTCTAATAAATTATATTCCGAGTTACTATCATCGCTCTTTACAAGAGAATATGACGGTACTTTCCCTTGTCATTCAAAAAAACTGTAGTTCTTTTCGACCAACAAGAAAGTATATCTTTTTTTTGGAATCTATTGTTTTTATTATTTTACTCTACAAAACTAAGAAATGACTAACATTTCCTCAGCAGCTATACTTAAATCTATATATCTATCTATATATCTACTTAAATCTTTCCACTTTTCGATTGGAACTTAGAATATTCACACGGTCAGTCGTGCATTATTGCTTTGAAGTGTTACTAGTACTAAGTGCGTTTTTATTTGTGATACCCCACCTGTGATGAAATCTGGTAGTACGACACTCAGGTGTCCGTAACTTCAATTGTCCACAAGAATAGATTGTCTTTGTAAGGGTGCCTTATTTCAGATAGGATACTACCCTTTACTGTTTTGGAGCGAAACTACTTGCAACTGGATTTTCCTTTGTGATACCCTAAATGAAACGAAAACTGTTAAAACGGAATGCAGATGCCCATGACTTTAGTTGTCCACAAGATTGGGTTGTGTTAGTAAGGAATGTTTTACTTCATATAGAGTACAGCACCAAAAAGTACTGTTTTAGAGTATAACTAATTGCAAGTAGGTTTTTCTTTGTGATATCCCACCTGAGATGAAATCTGGTAAAATCGAATCGAGGTGCCCGTAAATTTTATTGTACTCTAAATTAGATTGGCTCGGTAAGGAAGTGTCGTGATAGCTGTTGTTGACAACTAAAAGTACGCAGCTAAATTAAGCGTGAAGTCATATTTTTCAACCAAATGCTGTGGCCTAAAGAAGAGTAGATGTATTTGATAGACCATACTTCTAACAAAAGGGAAAATTGCATCCTAACACATACGCTCATTAGGGTTGTTATTTATCGGAAGGAAATAGAAATGTTAGGTGAACAAAAAATAATTTTCAAAAATTTTTTTTTTATATACTCAATTTAAAAGAAGTTCAAATTCTAAAGATAAAAATTTCAAAATTGAGAAAATAATATTTGAAAAATATTATATAATTAAAATATATCACAGAAACTATTTTACAAACCTGCTCCAAACGCTTCACACTTTCGTTGCCAAACGGATTAGTGAATACTGTCCTCCTTTTATATAAAAACACTATAAAAAATATTTCACTCTTTCGATTAGCTGGTGTATATATATGGCTTCGAATTATGTAAATAATTATTCTGCGCGCATAAAATTATGCAATTAATTAAATTTTATCGATTAACTCTATCGCATTTATAAGTATGCAATAAATAATGTATCAATAAGAGAAGGAGGAAAATATATATAGGAAAATATTTTTATGACAAGAATATGAAAGATTGTATGTTAAGAATTTAATATAAAAAAAATTAAAAAATTCAAATTGTGAATTTCAATAATCTTCAATACAATTTTTTTGCATCGTTATAATTTAGTATTTTTTCGTTGTTTATATATTTTATAAACACAAAGACTCTTAACAATTTTTTTTAACTATAAATTACTTATACCATAAAATTGTTTATACCAAAGTTAAAATTCAAAAACTCAGAAATTGAAATGACAAAGTTTTGCATTTAATATTTTAGAGAACAAATCTTTAGTACACTTTTCGGCGTTTTAACTTGCCTACTTCTTGTCTGCGGTGTACTGAGCATTAAACAAGCTGCCTCAGGCCTGTTTACACGTTGTTATCTGAGCGCATTTGTCAGAACGTGCAACAAAATTTATAAAAGTTGCTATTGTTGCTCCGCCGCTGGGGAACAACTAAGGTTAAATTGTTAATATGCCCTCCACACCTCGTTGTTACTACGTTTTGCGTTTAACGTTATGTCTTATGTTTCCTCTTCCCTTTCTCTTCATGACTACTCTTTATGCATATTTGAGTCCAGGTACAGAAAATCACCTGTAAGAAATGTGAATTGCGCCACGTTCCTGCGTTATTCATAACATTTTTTATGGTGCAAGTTTGGCATAGCGTCACAAGAGATGCCTCGGATAACGCATAGTACGTGTTCGTGATTATTCCTTGATTACTTGGTGTTTCGTATTATGCGTTCCTGATTAATAGCTTGTTAATCTGACATAGATTTTTTATTTATCTGCTTTATTAGCTGAATTTACTGTATTGTAAATTGTGAAAGTTTTTATCTTTCCTTTGACAATTTAGTTGCAAATTTATACTTTCTACATTTTTGACTTTTATGTAAATAAATTCACACTAAATTTAATCTACGTGGGAAATAATAAATAAGCTTTGAATATAAAAGATACAAATTTATTTAAAAGTTTTGTAAAACATTCAAATTCAATTTGACAGGTGAATATAATTTATTCAGCGAAATTAGATAGATGCATGATAAATATTTGCATTCTAGTTTAAGTTGAGAAAGAAAATATATCACTGATAAATAGAATACATTAAAAAAGTTTTAATTTATAATAAAAGCAAAAATTTGTCGTTATTCAACACTAATTTTATTTATTTCTACATCTACACGCCCTAGTTCATTTCAAATAAAATGCATACGAATTAAATACATCAAAATAACAGTATTGGAGTTTGTTC